GGTTTCGGCAAACTTTGATAAAAATATTTGAACACACTAAAAATATCTTTTTCTTTGGGGCCAGGGAACAAGGAAGGTAAAGGTAACTGTCAGGTGTCTCGGGGCGGTTGGAGTGGAACAAGATCATTCCTGAGCTTGTGCAAGCACAGGCACGCTCCAAGTGCTGACTCCTGCGTAGCCCTTGCATCATGCACTAGGCCAGAGGGAATCCAGGCAGACAGCTCAGATGTACATGGTGATTGCCTCATACTTTGGCGGTCACAGTGTTTTGGCTAAAATAGTGATCTCCCCAGAGCTGTTCTCCACAGCCTCCAGCAGATCTGTTCAATCATTCACTTGCTCATCAAACATTTATTTCATTACTTGTGTTTTATTTATTTATTTTTTAAAAAATATTTTTATTGTTTTCAGAGAGGAAGGGAGAGGGAGAGAAAGATAGAAACATCAATGAGAGAGAGAGAATCATTGATCGGCTGCCTCCTGCATGCCTCCAACTGGGTATTGAGCCTGCAACCTGGGCATGTGACCTTGACCGGAATTGAAACTGGGACCCTTCAGTCCACAGGTCGATGCTCTATCCGCTGAGCCAAGAGTTATTACTTGTGTTTTTACAAGACATCGTGCCTAAGAGGCTGGCTTAAAGGATGAAGCAGGTACTGGAACTTACAGAATGGTGCTCTAGAACTGTTATTCTGTCTTGGTACACAGAGAAAATGATACAATTTGTATGTCCCACTGAGGTAAACTGGGGACAAAGAGTGGGGAGTAGGTTTTGGGGCATTTGAATTTGTTTTGGTAAAAAAAATTAATTATACTTTCTACATATTGTTTAATTATGATTTGAAACATAAAATGAAAGCATTAGAGACAGCATTAAATATTGAGCTTAGCCTAGCCTGTGTGGTTCAGTGGTTGAGCATCGACCTATGAATTAGGAGGTCATGGTTCAATCACAGGTCAGGGCATATGCCCAGGTTGTGGGCTTGATCCCCAGGGCGCATGCAGGAGGCAGCTGATCAATGATTCTCTCTCATCATCGATGTTTCTATCTCCCTCTCCCTCTCTCTTCCTCTCTGAAATCAATAAAAATATATTTAATGAAAACATTTACAAAAGCTAAAATATTTTTAAAAATGCCTTATTTGTCTTTCATTAACAACTATGCAATGGAAATTGTTTTTGATAACATGAATGGATTTTAAATTCAATCAAACTCATGTCAAGCACTTTAATGAAGAGCTCTGATTTAAAGCATGTTCCTTCACAGTTGATATCCCCTTGGTATGTACTGCTATTCACTGTTTATGGCTAGCTGAACTCTGTTCTGATTGGTCAATGTCTGCGCCATCTCAGATGTTAACTAGTTTTACTCTCATCCTGCCCAGAAGCATTATTGGAGCAGCCTCCCTGAAGTTAGCTTGGACACCAGCCGAAAATGGATGGAAGGGTCTGATATGATGTGAAGACAGATCTGGGTCAGCCATCCGGGGCTGCTCTGGCCAGACCCCCAACCAGTCTCCCAGCCCCTTCCCTCCTGCACCTTGAGTTGTTGCTCTTCCTCTTTGGGTCCCTGGGCCCCAGGCCCTTGTCCGTGATGCGCTGCAGTGCACTCTGCAGCTGGCCTCTGAGGTGAGTGTCCAGGTGGGGACACAGGGCAGGATGTCAGACTCTGATTGGACCAGCCTCTTCTTGGACTGCCCAGAAGTGACTGGCCTAGCTGGTGCCCCAAAGGCTATGGGATCTTTATGTTGTGTTCCACCTGTAACCCAATTGCAATACACCAGTGTGCAATGACCGCTGGCCAGGACACTCTGCGGTAGAGGAGATAAAACATACAATGACCACACTCCTATTATTTATCAACTAGAGGCCCAGTGCACAAAATCTGTGCATTCGGGGGGGGGGTTCCCTCAGCCTGGCCTGAGCCCTCTCGCAGTCCGGGACCCCTCGCTCCTTACCACCTGCCTGCTTGCTGCTCCTTACCGCTTGGCTAGCTGCTCCTTAGCACTGCCATGGAGGCGGGAGAGGCTCCCGCCACCGTGGCTGCACTTACCAGCCATGAGCCCAGCTTTTGGCTGAGCAGCGCTCCCCCTGTGGGAGCACACTGACCACCAGGGGGCAGCTCCTGCGTTGAGCGTCTGCCCCCTGGTGGTCAGTGCATGTCATAGCAACCAGTTGTTCCGCCATTCAATCAATTTGCATATTAGGCTTTTATTATATAGGCTGTGTGGCTTATAATTGACCCTCATTTAATCCTCATAAGAACAACCAGTAAGGACTACCATCCCATTTTACAGAGTGGGAAATAGGTTCAAAAGGGCGAGTTGCTCAGGTTGACATGCTAAGTCCATACTTCCCTAATTGGTGCCTCAGGGACGCACACATTGTCGGGCTGAGGAAAACAACAAGTTATTAATTAGAGTGACAGCTTCACTTGAAAGTTTTGAGGGACAATTTAACTAGTAAATAATATAAAAGATCAAACATGAAACGCCAAAGAAACATTGTGCTTAATGAGGGCAACTTGGAGCTATGCACACACACCCCCCTGCCCCTCCCACCACCACACCTGCTGAAACGAGGAAGACTTCTCTCTTCTGCCATCAATGACTGAGATACACTGATTTAACTTTTTTTCTGATTCCAGATCTCATACTTATCTCAGGCTAGAAAATTGTTAAGGTTTTAAGAGCGTTTCAGAGTGGTGTAAGCGTGGGTTTCAGCTGAACATTGGGAGTGAGGAGCTGGGAGCTGGGGAGGGAGCATTGCAGGCTGAGGATGAGGCATGAGCAAAGTTAGGGGGCGAGAGAGTGGGGCTGTGGAAGGTGAACAATGGCGGGAGGAACAAGTACGTGAAGGTGCGTCATGGGAAACACGAGGAGAAAGGTGGGCTGGCTTCAGGCTTCAGGCAGTGTGATCTGGCAGAGAAGTCTGCGTGGTAACAACAGCGGTGAGACCGGGTTAGACGCTAGAGGTGGGAAGGCCTGAACCAGTAGCTGCAGAGGGAAGGAGTGGAGGGCTTGTGAGCAGGAAACTGTCAGGACCTACCAGAGGACGGGCAGGGAGCAGGGTCCAGGGCGGGGAGGTGGAAAGGCCGCTGACCTTGCAGCCCGCCTCAGGTGCTGTCAAAACACCCAGCTGGTGGCTCAGGGGTTGAGCATTGATCTATAATCCAGGAGGTCATGGTTCAATTCCAGGTCAAGGGCACATGCCCCGGTTGCAAACAGCCAATCAATGATTCTCTCTCATCATTGACATTTCTCTCTCTCTCTCCCTCTCCCTCTCCCTTTCTAAAACCAATACAAATATAAAAAACAAAACCAAAAAGCACCCAGGTGGATTGATGATTCTCTTTCTTTTTTTTAATTTTATTTTTATAATATATTTTTATTGATTTTTTACAGAGAGGAAGGGAGAGGGATAGAG